TGTCAGTCCTGCTTTATAATAGTGGTGTTTTGCAGTATTTGGGGTTTTTTGGTAACTAAGATATTTCACTCATCATAATGTCTTCCCATATTGTATAATATTTTATGAAGTCATTATTTTTCAGTGCTGTGTAGCATTCCATTGTATGACTATACAATAATTTTCTTATCCATTCATTTGTTGATGGGGACTTGGATTATTTCTATCTTTTTGCTTTTGTGAATAATGCAGCAGTAAACATGGGTGCTCATATGTTTGTTTGAGTGGCAGCTCTGGTTTCTTTAGGTATATTCCCACTAGTGGAATGGCTGGGTCAAATGGTATTTCTATTTCCACTTTTTAAAAAAAAGTTATACCACTTTACACTCCCAGCAGCAATGTATAAGGGTTCCAGTCTCTCCTTAACTTCATCAACACTTGTTATTTACTGCTCTGTTAAACTTTGCTTTTATTGCTGGGGTGAGATGATATCTCATAGCTCTTTTGATTTGCATCTCTCTGGTAGCTGTAGATTTGAACATTTGTTCATGGGTTTGTTTGCCATCTGAATTTCTTCTTTGGTGAAGTGTCTTTTCATATCTGGTGCCCATTTTGTGACTGGGTTGTTTACCTTTTTCTGTTGAAATGCTGAAGTATTCTATAAATTTCAGATATGAGTCCCTTATCAGATATGTCCTTGTCAAATATTTTTTCCTAGTCTATGGTTTCCTTTTTACCCTGTTGGAGAAGTAAACTTTCATCTTGCAGTTGTTGTTCTTATTATTAGCATGTAATTGAGAAGACCCTGCACTGATCAGGTTCACCTTAGTCTTCAAACTGACATCATTGCTCTTTAGTACTTGGAGCAGATTTTCCCCACTTGTCTTTTTTGTTTGATTGCTAATACTAAGATGTTGATGTGGAGCCAAGTAAGATGAAATCATTAACAACTTCAATCTTTTCTAACCATGTATCATGATGTTGCCTATTTGGTTGTAAAAGTTTTTCTTTACTTGGTTAGATGACTATATCTATGGAAAGAATTGTAGGAGATGTTCAATATCAGCAGTCAAAACTAGGCCAGGTGCTGACAGTGGAACATACCAGAAGCTATTCAAGTTCAAACTGAAGTACAAGCTCAAACTGTTGCTAGGTGCTGCTGTGTCATGTACAACTCACAGTGACTCTGTGAGCTGTAGATCGGAACTCTGTCCTATCCTCATCATTTCTGACATACTTGAGTCCACTCCTGCAGTCACTGTGTTAGTCCATCTCATTGTTGAACTTCCTCTCTTTCAGCAAAGCTCCACCTTTCCAAGCATGATGTCATTTTACAAATTTCCAAGGAATTTGAAAAAACAAAATAAGGCCTCAGGAATTGGTGGAATACCAATGACATATTTCAGCAAACAGGTACAGGCCTGGATGTGCTTACCACATTTTTGTTGTGGAAAAAAAATCTGGAGGGCAGCTATTGGCTAAGTGATGTGGAGAAATCCATATTTATTTTCATTTTCAAAAAAGGTGATCCCATAGAATGTGGAAGTTATAGAACAATATCATTAATATCACATGCAAGCAAAATCTTGCTGAGGATTACAGAAAATGACTGTAACATCAACAGAGAACTTCCAGAAATACAAGCTGGATTTAGAAGAGGCAGTGGCACTAGGGATAATCTTTGCTGATGTCAGATGGATCTTGGCTGAAAGCAGAGAGTACAGAAAGAAGTCTATTTGTGTTTTATAGCCTATGCAAATGCATTTGACTGTGTGAATCACAATGAATTGTGGCTAACTCTGAGAAGAATGGAAATTCCAGAACACTCGATTGTACTCATTCAAAATTTAAACCTAGATCAAGAAGCTGTTGTCTGAATAGAGCAAGGGAACATTTTATGGTTGAAAATCAAGAAAGGAGTGCATTAGGGATGTGTCCTTTCTCCATACCTTTTCCATCTATATGCTGAACAGATCATTTGAGAGGCTGAACTTAATAAAGAAGAATGTGGCATCAGGATTGGAGGAAGTCATATCAACAACCTGCTTCATACAAATGACACACCTTGCTCACTGAAAGTGAGGAGGACTTGAAGGGCTTGCTGAAGAAGTTCAGAGACACAGCCTTCATTATGAATTGCATCTCAACATCAAGAATGCAGAAATCCTCACCACCAGTCTGACAGGTAGTATCATGATATATGGAGAAAAGATTGAAAATGTTAATGATTTTATCTTGCTCAGATCCATAATCAACTCCTGTCTAAAGTGGAGAAAACAGGACACAGGGGTGCAGGGCCATGAGCGTCTCTCTGAAAGGGGCAGAGGGAGTAAGGATAGCATAGACCCTCACTGCCCCAGAGTAGAAAGCAGGTCAAGAGTCTGTAGCCCAGCCCCATGGTGCCTCTAGAGCTACAGCAACAGCAAGGCAGGGAGGTTTGTTTATTCATTGCTGACTCAAAAACTCACAGTTATGGTACCAACATTGGAGTGTATTAGGGATGGAAGTTGGAGAGTAGGTGAGACAAAGAATACCACAAAGAGTGCAAATCCAAGTTTTAGCCCAACAGTCCTGAGGCACAATTTCTCAATTAGTCTACGCTCTGGTGTCAGTTTAGCAGTCAAATCCAAATTATCCAACAAGGTTTGTCTCAGAGCTGTTATAAGTCAGCTTCTCCTTCAATCATCTGGCAAAAACAACCAAAGCTTTAACTGTGGCTGGCTGGCACAAATGAAAGAAGCCTCAGGAGACCCCTTGCCACAATTTCACCACAGCAACGCCAGTCTCTCCACTACCAGGGTTTTGGCTCATCAGGGTCTTGCTGCCACAAGCCTTGATTGTCTCAAGTATTGTTCTCCTCAAGTTTTGCTGCTTAGTGTGGGAAGTACTCTTTCTTTTATACTAGTCTCACAGCTGATATTGATTTGTAAGACCATGTGTTTCAGTTAAGGTAGCTGGAGACCAGAGGGGCTAACTAATGGCTTAAAAATGCCAACTTTTAGGTTAACACCACTACACCCTTGGCACCAGAAATCCGTAAATCCAAAGACAAGTTTCTTTGGGAACATCTGTTGGCAAGGACTTCTCCATATGTTAGTCTAAAGATCCAAGCAATTGCTTGTTAAGTATTTGAGAGCTGATTGAAGACTAAGGATGACAGAAGAAGAATTGATTCCTTTGAGCTGTGGTGCTGGAGAAGAGTATTGAATATATCATGGACTGCCAAGAGAACAAACAGGTTTATCCTTTAGAGGGTGAGCCTCTTCTGGGGAGCATCAAATTTGCTCCTTGGAGACAAGGATTTTGAAACTCTGTATCACATACTTTGGGCATATTATTACTAGGGGCCAGTCCTTGGAGAAGGATATCATCCTTGTAAATATAAACGGTCAGTGCAGGAGAGGGAGACCACGGTTGAGATTGATTGACAGTGCCTGTGGCAGCGAGGGCATGGGGTCAATGGTGTGTCAGAGACAGTTTGACTCAGCATAGGGCAAAGTTCAGTGCCATTATTCATAGGGAGGTTATGAGTCCTAGTCAAAGTGACAGCACATAATAACATGCCCAAAGTAGTTGTAAAAATAGCAAGGAACACATGAGTACAGCCATATCTGACCTTTACTAAAATGTCACAAAGGGGACCTATATTGGTCAACAACATTAACAATCCATGAGGTCAGACATGTCTTCCCTGCCTCTGCATCTCTTTTTACTCATCCCACTATCATTCTTACTGCTTTACTGGGTCCAGAATCTAATGTGGTAGCTCACAGACCACACAGAACTGCACTTGGGAAGTAAAAAAGGTCATAATCCAAGTTAGTAGCAGAATATAGTCCAGACAGCTTCTGAAATATGTTTGCAAGCACCTCAGTCTTGAACTTTTTGACTTCAGGCCAGTGTTACGAAGCTCTTAGTCCTGCAAACTGTGGCTCTTCAGGCCCCCACCCCACCCCACCTCCCTGGTTGTCTGGCTACTACGGCTGCTGCTCACATAGGCCCTTGTCTGGCTGATAACGAGAATTTCTGGCTCCGAAGGACATACTATATTCTCTTGCTGGTGGAGAAGATTCCTCTAATTCTCTGCTGGATCTGCTCAGTTTAATGGCGAAACTAATCATTTCCATAATGAATTGATGAGACTAGCCAATTAATTTATGGATAGGCTAGCATACTCTATGGTGCATATTCCTACTCATTCAGTTGACAGAGGAAGTTAATGGATAGGGAGCTCTTTTATACAATAAACTCTTACCACAGTAGTTAATTTGAAGTTGAAGTAAAACGGATCCACAAAAATAAAAATATGACCTTGAATTTATCTCACCTGAATTTAAAAACAGTCTCAAGAAGAGAGTAAAGATATTGATCACTGATGATCAAAATCCAGTTGAGTTGTGGGATGGCATCAAGGCTACCATGCAGGAAGAAAGCAAAAGGTCATTACAAAAACAGAAGAGAAAGAAAAAGACCAAAATGGATGTCAGAAGACATTAAAATTTTACTAGAATGTCAGGAAGTAAAAAGAAAGGGAAGAAATCACAACATAAAAGAGAGGAACAGAAGATTTTAAAGGGAAACTCGATATAACAATGTATTACAATGAAATGTGTAGCGAAGAGCTGTTTTTAGAGAATAAAAAGGGGAGAACTCATTTGGCATTTCTTAAGATGAAAGAACTGAAAAGCAAACTCAAGTCTCAAGTTCAATACTGAAAGATGCTATGAGCAAAATTTTGAATGATCCAGAAAGTGTCAAAAGAAAATGGAGGAAATTCACAGTCGCTGTACCAGAAAGAATTGGCTGACATAGAACGATTTTAGGAAGTAGCCAGCATGTGATCAGAACTAATGGTAATAAGGGAAGAAGTTCAAGCTGCACTGGAGGCATTGGCAAAAAAAAAATAATAATAAAGCCGCAGGAATTGATGGAATATCAGTTGACTTGTTTCAGTAAACAGATGTAGCCCTAAATGTGCTTACCAGGCTGTGCCAAGAAATGTGGCCATTTCCAAATGAAGGGATATTGGATATGAATAAGTAAGGTTCACTGTGTTTATGGGATGGGATGACATCGAATAGAATATTCTGCTGTGATTTTGGTTACTTCTCAGGCTAGAGACAGGATCATATAACTTTGTACCACTGAGGACATTTGGAAATCAGTCAACCTTATTGATGCACTTTACCATTCCAGAGAGTTTGTAACTCCAATGAGTTGAAGAGAGTTGTTGTCTGACACAGTGATTGGTACTAAAGTCGGGCTTTCTTATACACTCCAGAACGTACTAGATTGAATATTGGGAAAGTTTATTGTCAAGAGCCTTTCCAAGTGCTAAAGAGAAATTATGTCAGCTGAAAGACTAGGGTGCACCTGTTCCAAGCCATAGTATTTTCAACTGGTTCCGATCCATGTAGGATACTCTAAATGGCTTAGTGGTAAGGAATTATATTTCCAAAGCAAAGGTGTTTGAAACCACAAGCTGCCCATGCTTGCTGTTGAGTTGATTCCATTGGATTTCTGAGGCTATAAATCTTTGCTGGATAAGATTGCCTTATCTTTTTCCTATGCAGTGGGTGATAGATATGAACTACTGATGTTGGACTTTCTAGTCCAATAGGTAACATGCTCTACCTCCACTTTAGTATATATGTAACTATATTTCGTATCTTTTTGCAGTGAGATTAAACACAACATCCTGTAACTTCCTTGTGAAATAGTTTGTGATTGGCACAGTTACTTGAAAGGTACTTATCTATGTGAACAATGTAGACTTTAGAATAAAATACTGTGTGATATTTAGTTTAAGCATTTATTAGGAAAGTGAAAAACTGTATGCTTATTGCTTATATGTACATTTCATTTAATACTCTAGGAACAACATTTGATGTCATTACTGAGTAGAGTTACATGGCCCAAAGCAAGATATTAAATGAGACCCTGCTCTCTGCTCTCCGTATTCTGTGGAGATTTTCTTAATCAAAGAAAAATGGATTATTGGATGATCAAATCATATTAACTTTGGTAGGTTTTAAATTCATTGTTCAGGGCTCAGATGCATAGCTAGTAATTGAAAAGACTGTATGGCCTGACTCAGATGCACCTTAGTCCTCAAACTGACATCGTTATTTTTCAATAATTTGGAGAGGTTCCTAACTGCAGATTTTCCCAGTGTAATGCATTTCTTTATTTCCTGACTGTTGATACCAAGGGTGTTAATTGTGGATCCAAGCAAGATGAAGTGGTTGACAATTTCAATCTCTTCTCCACCCATCATGACACTGCCTAATGGTCCAGTGGTAAGAATTTTTGTTTTCCTGACATTGAGATGCAATCCATACTGAAGGCTGCATTCTTTGGTCTTCGCAATGAGTGCTTCAAGCCCTCCTCGATTTCATAAATTATGGTTGTGTCATCTGCATTTGACAGCTTTGAGCCGTGGTGTTGGAGAAGAGCACTGAATATCCCATAGAGAGCCAAGAGAACAAACAGATATGTATTCGAGAAGGTGCGACCAGAGTGCTCTTTGGATGTAAGAATGATGAGGCTTCGCCTTACATACTTTGGACATACTGCTAGAAGGTGCTGTTTCTTGGAGAAGGACATGGTGTTGGGAAGGGTGGAGTGTCTCAGCCAGATGGATTGATATGATGACTGCTGCAGTGGGTTCTTATGTGTCAGGAAGTGTGAGGATGGTACAGGGAAGGACTCGTTTTATATCTTTTGTTCATAGGATTGCTGTGAATCATTCCCAACTCGATGGCACCTAACAACAACAACAGCAAGGACTTAAGTTATTTCTTTCCTTAATTGTAACCAAACATTTATGTTTGCATTAGATTAAAGAAGATATTCCTGAAACAAAGATGAAATTCATATCCATAGAGAATCCAGAGAATGACAGCCAGTTTTCAAATATCTCCTCTTCATTTCAAGTGAACTTACCTGTTCCTTATGAATTAAAAAAAGGACAGGCACTCATCACCTTTGAAAAAGAAGAAGGTATGACTAATGTTTAAAAATACGGTCACATTGCCTTTGGAAAGCAGTTGGGCTTTCAGAATGTTTTCATAGATACTTGACTATTGTTTCTTAGTTTGTATATTAATTTTATTTCATTCTCATAATGAGACCTTGAGGCATTTTACAGAGAGATAGGTATCCTCATTTCACAGATGAGAGGAGTATCACTGAGATGTTAGGTGAATTGAGTATGATCCCTTACTCAGAAATTGGTGACTGTGGAACTCAAACCCAGATGAGGTAGTGTTGAATTCCAGTCTCTTTCTACTCCACATATTGCCTCTTTACTAGTGATAATAGTAATGATATCCTGGGGTGGTAGAGCTCTACACAGTTGTTGTCGTATTGTTCACAAACATTACCTCATTTTAAACACATACAACTCTGCAATAGCAATAGAATTAAGTAATAGATATTTGGATTTTGTAACCAAGAAAGTGAATTCTCAAGAAACGGAAGTAATTTTCTTGTGGGCATTTGGGGTTTAGGTTTGAGATGGGAGTGTCCTGCAGCTGGAGGTTCCTTAACTTGGGGCCCAGCTCTACCCCTTTCTAGAAGTGTGATTTGGGGTAAATTCTCTAACTGCACTCCAAATTTCAGATTTATACAACAGCTCTTGTACATACTTAGGATATTAAATGAGGAATGATTATAAACTACTTATCACAGTGTCTGATGCATAATAAACAGTAAATGCTAGCAGTTATTATTGCCACATATCAGGAATTTCCAGATAAGGAAACAGAAACTTAAAGGAGACAAAGAATTGGCTTAAAGGCCACATAGTTTACCAGTTGCAGAGTCATACTCAGTGCTCGGCTCCACTCCACTGAGTCAACATCCAAGAAGGTCCTTTGGCTCTTTATCAAGTGATGATAGGACTAGATAGTTACTATAAGCCCATCTCTTGCTCTGGTTCTGAGAACATGTGATTTGAGCCCACGTCTCTTAACATCTGGTCCACCACCATAGCCTGCATAGAAATGTTAAAATAGGGTATCCCAGTGGGTCAGTTGATACAAATCCAGGCATATAATCCCAGTGTGCTTTTGTTCAACTCTGGGCCACCTCTTACAGCTGAGAATGGAGGGAGGAGGCTGAAAGTCAGGCCAACTGCTAGCAGTGGTCAAAGGGTATCATGGAAAGATGAAACCGAGGATTCAAAAGGCAGGGATTTTACCCAGGAATTGTCTGGGAATAGGATTGGGAGTCTCTTCAGAATTAATGATGTCAGTGGTTCCACCCTTGGCCTGGCACGGAAATGCTGTCCTTCTGGGACAACTAAGGTCTAACACAGTTAGGCAGCTTTTGGCTCTGACAGAGTCAGTCACAAAGTTGAAACGTAAGCAGTCCCTCTCAGTTGCATCAGATCACCAGATGTTGGGGGCTTTTAAGAAGTGGGAGGAAATACCGTCATCTGGGTTTACTTCATTGATATTTTCTGTTATCAGAGCCTGTTGTCAATTAGTCAAAAACATTTTTAAAAATCCCAAGTTACAGAACTTTTGAATTCCCACACAATAGTGCTTTGCTTTCTAGCCTAGTTTCCCCCGTTTTCCGTCTGTTTCTCATAAAAACACTGGTTAATTTTATCATTTGTTCTCAAATCAAAGGATAATTTGTTCTAAAATCAAAGAGAAGAGTGAATATCTCTTTTCTTTATGGTAAATAAGAATAAACAGTTTCAGGTATTAACAACTGAAGTACAAAGAACTCTTTTAAGTTACACAATTACAGATTATCACATAACATTATAAAATGACAAATGGGCACTCCTTGGTCTTCTAATGATTTTGGAGTGATTGTGTCACTAAATCTCTCCCATTTTATAGGCTTAAATTAGTCATAGCTTTGTGATCAGTATGTCAG